ACTTACTTCCACAAAGCTGTTGAATTGAGTAGGCTATGCCAACCATTTTACCAATAATCGCTTTTCCTTTCACATCTATATTTTTTCTAGTCATGTGAAATCTCCTCCACTTGGTATTAACTTTCTGTAACTCTTTGTGTATATACAGCAACAACCATCTTTTCCTCACCATCTTTTATCCTGAATATGATTGTTCACGCCTGGCTAGTGAGTTCATGCCATATGAAAATTTAATCAGTTAATGTCTGTTCCCTGTGTTTTTCAAGAGTTACTTTGGTTTTAGACACCCACATTTGGTCTCCTTTTGTAAAGAGGGGTGCTTTTCCTCTAAGCCCCCATACTTTGCTCTCTAAATCCTCAGTGAGTTGAGAGTTGACACCAGCAGGATTGGTACGTGTAGTTCTCTGAAAGCTGCCATTAGAGCATTTCATAAAAGGGGGTAACAGTGTAGCAAAGACATTGTGGGTTGCAAAATATCTCCATATCTTACACTTAAAAGTTTTGCTAAAGCACTCTGTAACTACAGTTTGGACTTTTTTATTGGTAATCCAATGGTGAATATTACATTACTTTAACAAAATGTTTTAAAATCTGCTTTAAAAGTTCTTTAAGCCTCTCCATCTGTAATTTCTGAGCTTCACTTCTTTTAAATTCTTTTAAAATTGCAGTTCTTTTGTTCATGTATTTGCCCTGGAAGTGGTAGTTTTTATAGTGAGAGAAATATTGCTGGGCCCACAAGGGCAAGCAACATTCCAAATCCCAGCCTGAACTCTGGCAGAAAGAAACAAAAGGATAACTAATCCTTTACAAGGTGATCTGAATTAGCATATGCTTTTTTTTATTGTTATTATTATTTCTAAATGGAAAAACATGCTTTAAAACTAGCATTCAATTAATACATTTTAACACTGATCATATCATCTCCTTATTCTTAAACACCTCCTCTGACTAGCAAAACAACCACTAGGTTTGGATAAGAAAGATTACAATTATGTAAAACTTTAATTCTTTAATTTTTACATAAATAAGCTCTCTCTTCAGAGACTTGTTAAATCTCTCCTAGTTGTAGAAATTATGTTTATCAAGCCAAGAAATAGCTATAACATTATGACCAAACTAGAACTCACAGTTCAAACTCTGACTACTGAATATCAAACATTTTAGTAAAGAACTCACAAACATTTCAGAGTAAACGTAAACAATAATTTACAATGTTATTAGTTCAAATAAATTCACAATAAAAAAATGTAAATATTCAATGGATAGGAAAAAAAAATCTTTGTGTAACTAACAACTGTGGATTACACATCTCCATGAGTACAGAAGAACACCTGAAACTTATTTTCATACTCATTTGGAAGTCTTGGTTAAAGGCCTTTGCATGCTTTATGAAACATGTTAGAGAGGGGACATTACACTAATGACTAAGATAGCAAGATTTGAGTTACTACTTCCTGTTTAGAAGAGTCTTCAGAAATACCACCTGGAATATTTGAATCATGTTGCCATTCTGTATATCATCTGTACATCATCTGTAAATCAAGTATGCCCTAGAAGCCAAGAGGACCAACAGTACCCTGGGATGCATCAGGTATGGCATTGCTAGCTGGTTGAGGGAAGGGATTGTCCTGCTCTGCTCTGTGCTGATGCCTCGCCTTGAGTGCTGTGTGCAGTTTTTGGTGCCACAGTGTGAGAAGGACATAAAAGTATTAGAGAGTGTCCAAAGGAGGGCAACAATGATGGTGAAGAGGGAAAGGAGCTGTTGAGGAGTGGCTGAGGCCCCTTGGTTTGCTCAGCCCCGAGCAGAGCAGGCTGAGGGGAGGCCTCGTGGTGGCCTGCAGCTCCCTCACAAGGAGAGCAGAGGGGCAGGCGCTGAGCTCTGCTCTCTGGGGACAGCGACAGGACCCAAGGGAACGGCATGGAGCTGCGACAGGGGAGGGTCAGGCTGGGGGTTAGGGAAAGGGTCTGCACCCAGAGGGTGGTCGGGCACTGGGATAAGCTCCCCAGGGCAGTGGTCATGGCACCAAGCCTGCCAGAGTTCAAAAAACCTTTGGACAGTGCTCTCAGACATGGGGCTTTTGTTTTGGGTGATCCTGTGTGGAGCCAGGAGTTGGACTTGATGATCCTCATGGGTCGCTTCCAACTCAGGATATTCTATGAGACTATGATCTACCTTCTCAGTACTTCACACATGGCATTGGTCTCTCTCTGTGATTTGGCTAGTGAAAAATGTTTATACTCTAGATATTTCACTGCTGACGTTCTCCAAAACTGCCTGTAACTCTGTTTACTCAGTTCTGCATGAAAGGGGAGGACAGACTCTGCTGTTCTCTGTGGATTTGCACCCTGTTATATGTACATTTGCTACTTGTTTGTATTTGTTGTACTTCTATTCTGGGCTTTCATCCAATACCTTTTATAACATTATTTTTTTTTCTTGGCTGTCTTTCTAATTTCACATTCTATTTTTTAAATTTATTTTTATTTTATCTTATTCCCACACTTCTCTCTCTCTCTCTTTTTTTTTTTTTTTTTTTTTTTTAGCTTCTTCTGCAGTCTTTTCCATTGTTTGCTAGAACTGTTTTCTTCATGATGTCCCTCAGCAAGGGCACTGCATCACAATAAAAATGTTTCTCTTACGCTCTTTGGAGAAACGTCTTTGTGTCATCATCCACTGACCAAGGGTCTCCCTTTGCTAATGCTTTGAAATATGAAAATGAACTGATTTGTTGTACAGTAATTCCTCAGCTGCCTAACAATCCTCTGTCTCATGCCAGTAAAATGTTTCCATCCTTCCTCAGGTGAAATATTTCTCTGCAAAAACTAAAGTGTTTGAGAGGGTTGACTCTGCTTTTTCTGTGAAAACTCTCCTATTACAACAAATATAAACACTATGGTCCCCTTTGCTTACCCAATAATTGTTGAGGCTTGTTGCATAAAGGTGATGTCTACAGTTTGGGGATCTAAAGTCATTTCAGCTTCACAGAACATAGCAGCAAAGTAATCCTACTGCTGTCTGCTTATGCCTGCAAGATACGCCTACAAGATATATTCAATGATTTTTTTAAACATCTTTGTGAAACATACCAGTTTTTAAAGTCAGACCTAATACAATTAGAGATGTGTTTTGTTGTTGTTGTGTTGTTGTTTTTCTTTTCCATTTCTCTCTCTCTTTTTTTTTTTTTTTTTAATTTCTGTTTTTCAGTCTAGGAGCCTGTCTCCAAGACTTATGAAAAGTCCAAGACATACTGTGGCAAATCATTGTCACAGGTATATGATCTGTAGGCTCTGCTTTTCTAAATTGCTGTTTCTCTTGTAATTCCCCTTGCCCTCCTTCCTTCCAGGAGAGGTGCTGAAATGATTTGGGCCACTATGACAACATTGTGGTGCTCTGAGGCAGTTTGTTCAGTCCAGGAAGAGCTGTACTGAACATCAAAAGCCTAAATGAGTTTGAGAGGATGATATGAGCAAATTAACAGAATTTTAATCGTGGTGAGATGGATCTGTTGTTAAAGAAGGAATATATAAGAATGTATAGAACCTGAGGGAACATAGACTTATTTTTTTTCAGTGAATGCCTGCATAACTTTCCACAAAGAATTGGCAATATGAGAGCTTGTTTAGAACCCTATGTCCATCTTGAGTGAAATATAGCAAGATAAACATGATCTTCCTGATTTCTAGAGTGGCATATTTCCTCTTCCAGGGGCTAGCAAGCTGTCAGTGAAAGCACTAGCAGGTATGTCATCTGAGACATACCATACCAGGACAAGGCACTCCCCAGGACTGCATTTGCACTAGCATGGCTAACCAGCACTTCCAATGGAGCACAGCAGTTAAGCAGTTTGAAATCTCTCTCTCTTCATTTTTTCTTACTCCCCAGGACAGAAGAGGTTAACAGGCACTTGAGCAAGAAGTCCCTGGGTTAAATTGTCTAGCAGTCACTAGTGAGACATTTTCAGTGGAGGACTCTTGACTCTGCAGCTGTCTTCCAAGGAAGCCCAGAACAGATTCATTGACCTTTCAGGCACAGTTAGGCTTTTACCTGAAGGAGAAATGGGCAAGCTGGTCTTGTTCTGGAATTAGACACAGTGAAAAGAGACAACTATTATGTGGTGGTGGTTTGGTGAATTTTTTGTGCCCGCTCTGCATTAGGTATATGTTATAGGTGAGACAAAGTGAATAATTGATAACACAAACTGCATATTAGCTCACCATCTCTGTCTTCTAGTTTCCTTGGACCTCACCATTTTGAAAGGTGGGATTAATTTACTCTTCCCCAATTAGGTGATTTTTTTCTCCTCTCCTACTAATACCTGCAAAAACTCACCCTCTCAAAAACAGAAAAGAAAAAAAACAACACACTTTAATCCCCAATGACTTTTCCATTAGTTTGTGATTTGGACTATGACTTTCTGTTCAATGTAAATGTCGATACACAAATATTTTCAAAATGTTGGTGGCCATGATTTCCCCTGCTTTGAACAAAACCTGAAATCCAATGGTATTTCACAGACTCCAAGCAATGCCAGAATTTATAATCCATCATTCTATTTTGGTATGCACTTTACAGCCTAATACTATACATAGGTGTACCTTCAGTGACTTCAGACTTTTTGGTTGGTTGGTTTTGACTTCACTAAAGATTTATAAAAGAGAAATTTATCTCTTTGACACTGGCAGGAGCTTACAAACAGCAGTAGACAGCAATCCCATGATAATACTGATGATAAGGAACTAGAAAATGATGGAGCATACACCAAGCATGTGCAAAAAATTGAAGCAGAAAAATAAACTTCAACATTTATTTCCTAAAAAGTGAGAAATCTGTGATTTTTTTTTCTGTTCTGTGGGCTTTTTTTTTTTTTTTTCTGATTTTTTTTGCTTAAATCATTAGTTAACTTTGGTAAGTGGTACAGATGTTTTGAGCTACAATTGAACTTGATGACCCAAAAGTGTTTCCAGGCTCCTAAATTGGGATATAAACTCTGGATGCTTCCTTAATTCATGATGGAGTGAGATGTAGATGCCCATCCTTTGTGCATGAGCCAAACAAGAGTTACATTGAGTTCTGAGAGGTGTCCTATCAGGATGCACACTCTACAAGTACAAAATGCAAACAGTGCAGAGATGCAGGTTGTGGGTGTTTTATTCACAATGTGCTCACAGGATAATAATGTTTTTGCCAAGGCATCTAACACCAATAACTTGAAGCAGCTTGCAAAGTGTGCTTAAGAGAGAATTAGGAAGGGAGAGAGCATTTTGAATGACTTCATTAATGCTTTTGGATTAGCAGATGCTGTGAAGTATCATGCCAGCAGTGTTGCTTCCCATTTACAAAACTGCTCTTTTTCACGTCACAGTACAAAGATGTACATGGAGGTGCTTGCAGAACATAGGCATCAAAAGTACAAATCCAAGTGCCCCCCAAATTGCTTGTGTCCATAAATGTGCCCACTGGGATCCATCCTTTGTCCTTTTCTTTCACATTGGAACTCCAACTTGACATGATCCTCAAAAGCCCCTTTTCTAAATGAAGAGATGAAGGCTACAGTGGTTTGATTCTGAACCTCAACATCTCCAGGCTTCATGATCTCCAATGGTGCCTGTTGTTAAAGGAATTTGCATTCCTGAGTGAATAAGGGATGCTTTATCCTTCAGGTTTTGTAGGTCATTTTATTATTAGAAGCTTGCAATATTTTTGCCAGACTCTCTCTCTCTCTTTCCTTTTCTCAAAAAAGGAAAAAAAAATTGATCTTTTTATCCAGGACCTTACAAGAGTCATTGGTGAGCTCAGAAGCTTTAATGGAGTTGTTTATAGTAGTTCGAATAATCTCTAGCAGCAGCTTCCTGGAGCTGTAACAAAGGAAGGGTATTTTATAGCTTTGAGCATAATAGTGTCCTATAGAAAGAAAAAAAAAAATCTTTATTATCTCAAACTCTCTATCTCAAACTTAAAGAGCACACTAGAGAGACATTTTTATATATCTTTAACTCGATACTTAAAGAACAGAAAATATATTCCTAATAAACCAAAGAAAGGTCTTTGCCTAAATTACTCAGCCTACAGGAGCAGGCTTGTTACCTCTCTGAATCTGAATGTGTACAGACAGTTTGAAAACAAGCAACCACTCCCCCAAAGAGTAATTATTTTAATCTTTGTCCTGGAAGCTGCCTGCATTTACTCTTTGGTTGCAGAGGAGCCAGGCTTAAAACGTGGGCAGCTCGGTTTGCTCTTGAAGAAAAACTCCCGGTGTCTTGTATGCCGCGGTCTTTGGCAGGAGCCCATCAGACACCTGTGCTCCCAAACCTGGCCTGCCAGAAGTGCCCACTACACATGTCAGAGCTCTTTTGTTGACTTTCTATTAGCCGCCACTTAATGGATGTGAGCCGAACACAGCTTTGCCTAAGCACTTATCAATAGACAGCAAACATTCTTCTTTCAGTGGGCAAAGGGTCAAACTGTTTCGCCTGGCTATAAAGCTGTGCCAGATAATTGCTGGTGATTAGCAATTTTAATTACCAGGTGCTAGGGGTCGTTGCTTGTGGAGCTTTTTTGCTGCTGTTGTAATTGGGCAGACTGTTAATAGGTAGGGCTTATTGTACGTATGCTGTATATTTTACAGATACATCGTGCATCCTTTTAAAGCAAGGAAAATAAAGTCAGCAACATAACCTGCTTCTGTTTGCATCTGATTAGCCGCGTAGTGCTCCAACAGGTTTTTCGATAAAACTTGTCTGATAAAGGAATCTTTAATACAACCCACTAAAGCAGCTTTTAATCCTCTTGTAAACACTTGTATGTACTATTGTTATTGAAGAGAGGCAATGATTTTAAAATCTTTTCCTGCTACATTGGTCATGTTGGAACTAAGCTTGTCAAACATGTTCTACCTCATTGGTTTTGCATGCAGACTTTTAGGGGGTTTTCATAGAATCACAAAACCAACAGCACAATTAGCAGTGAACTAATCTCTTCCCATATTCAGCAGCAAAATGGGTTCAAAATAAAACTGACACAAAAGACTCTTCTCTGATCTTCCTCACAGCAGTGAGAAAGTAAGCAGCTATAGTACTTTGGTTTCTTGTTTTTTGTTGTTGTTGTTTTTTCCCTAAAATTTCCATTTATTTCCTTTACTTATATTATTTTACATAGCAAGCCCCGCAGACATACTGACGGTCTCTGAAAGCTGAATGTACTGTTTACTAATCTACTTGGGCTAGTAGATTAGGCTTGTTCTTTGAGAGAATACAAAAGCTGAATACCTCTGCAGTACGGCATCCCAGCTCTGTTATTATTTGCTCTGCAGTAATACCTACTGTCCCAGCTCAGATCACAGCTTCATTTACTCCAGCAATAGCCCGGCTGTCATTCATGGGCTGCATCCCAGCCTAGAGGATCAGTTCAGCAAACCATTCCCCAGCATCTTCTCTTGTGGGGTGGAAGAAGACAGAGGCCAACACTGTGCTGAGGGCTGCATGACTTGTTCTGACAGCTCAGCCCCCCAGCACCCTTTTTGGGTGCTCCCCAGCAATGCATCCAGTCCTGAAGATGGGACACCGGCATGTTGGGCACTGCTGTGTTCACACCTGGGTTATGTGAGCAGCAGGTGCTGCAGTGGATTCAGACTTGCCTGAATCTGTTCTCAACCACATCACCCTGTCCAGCAAAAGGAGAGTGTTATGTAAATGTGGGGGTGGGAACCAGGCAGAGTTTAGTCTTTTCTTTTGCAGTAGAAAAGTCAAATAAGCCTGCTTACTCCATTACGATGTTGTTAAAGAACCACATGAGCCTCAGCAGACCCAGTGTTTCCAAGAGAGATGGCAATTGCCTGGTGGCAAGCAAAGCACACCATGGGCTGGTGCAGCAGGCCAGGTCTCATCACAGCACCGGCCTGTCCTCATGGCCAGTGACAAGAGTTACAGCTCCCTTTGTCATTTCTATGTCCCTAAGTATAAATATTTATGGACCCTTGTCATCCCAGCCTAGGACCCTGGGAACTCTTCATGGAGCATAGAAACATACAAGAATCCTGAAATGCAATAATAGGAAAAAAATAATAATAAAAAAAATGAGCCAGCTATGAAACTATCAGCAGTCAGCAAGCCCTGATGTTCTAGCAACTTGCCTCAAAAGCCATACCATCAACTTTGAAGGTGCCATTTATGCAACATTTGTCCCACCAAACACTATTAACTATTGTAAAAGTAATGGGGTCCTGTCCTTAGGTGTATATAGCAACAACTCAGCTTCTACAGATTTACGTGTTTAGGATGTACATTTTCCCTTTAGGAAGTAAAAACTGTTTGGACGTTGTTCAGCAGGATCTGTCAGACAAATACTTGTGGCAGCTGCCAATGAAATTGAGGGCAGAGCTTCCCCTGGCTCAAGGAGCTGTGGGAATGAACCGTCAGCTCCCTTTTGTGTCAAAAAAATGTCAATATCTAAATGTCTGAGATTGTTATAATGGTGGTTATGTAGATCTTCAATATGACACATTTTGCAGCTGTGCATTAGCCATAAACATTCACCTTCTGCTGCTAGTTAAATTTATCAGGGTTTTGAAATTGGTGAGATCTGGAAAAAAAGTTGTTAGTGCAAGTAGAAAGAAGCCCCTGGAGAGAAGGATGCAGTGTTCGGTGTGCTCCCATCCACCTATGTCTCTGTGGCACAACTCCAGCACCTGCTTAGAGCCCTTTGGAAAATGCAGAGCTTTCCCCTTTCTGCTGACCCTAATACCAGTGGACAAGCTACAAAACCCCAATGCCAGGCCTGATGCCATTTTAAGAGCAAGCTGCAAATAACCCACATTTCTGAGAAGTGGAGCAGCCTGGGACAGAGTTTGATTTCCTAAAATCTGTCTTTCAGCTGTGGGAGATGTAGGCAGATAGTGGGAGCTGTTTCTGACAGAAGCTAAAAATTTTGGTTATAGGACTAATACACAGTCTTAGCAGGTTAATTGGTTTTCACAAGCTACTGTTTTTTTCCCAGTATGGAATGTTATCATCATTGTAGAAACAAATCTCTTCTCTGAGAAATGGACTAAGTTCATTTTGTTTTCCTCTACACTTTAACATGGAGACAGATTTTTTTACTTGCTGCACCATATTTTTGTTTGTGTATAATGACAAACTAAAGTAAGAGGTTCTTAGCATTGAATATCACTGATGACATTTTATCTTTGTTCCAACACAGACTAATATCCCCTCTTTTTCCAAGCTTCTGGCAATTTCTGTTTCAAAAAGATAGAGAAACCAATGGCAGAGTGACCATTCCTGTTGTCACAAGGAGACAGTTCACTAAACAGATTTTTTCTGTAGCTCACAAAATCACAAAGCTCCATGATACTCCAATGAGCAAAGAGAAATATGCAGGCATCTAACTCCTACTCATTCCAAACACATCTTTACTTACTGAAGTCTGCCCCGGAATTCTCATTTTTCAGTCCCAGATAAATGCAAATATTAATAAGCAGTATCTTTACCAGATATAAAATAATCGTTAGGAATCTGCATAAAAATATAATGGTGGGTTTGCTTTTTTTCACCGTCTGTGTGGCAACACATAGCCACGCAAAGATGAGATTAGAGTTCAGCTGCATTCATAATGCAATTCCTAAGCAGAGTGGATTATGGATAGAGTTCAAGCCTTAACTTTGAATTGCCTTGCTTTTGTGGATTGGAGTTAGACCCATACAACATTATTTGAACATAGTCTCTAGTACTTTGTTGATATTAGTTACCTGCTGTGACACACAGCACATGGCAGTTTCATTTTTGTACTCTGTAAAATACAGGTATTGTACACCTGAATTATAATCTTGCTGTGATAATGTGCCTCTATTGATTCAACAAAATAAGTTGTCTATTTTGTCTTCACTCAGACATTGCTATGAAGGAAAGACTGACAATCAGAAAGGTAAATATTTTGGACTTCACATCTTGAGGCATGACGAAAAAGATAAAAGTGCAATAATTTTGAAATGAGACCTCGCAGACAATGCCACTCCATTTAAACCAGTGAGATGAACTTAGAAAAAGTGTTTACTATACAGCAATGTTAAAATGTTGTAGACCAATCATTTAAAAATGTATAAAGTGAAAAATAGTCTATTTAGTTCTGTACTACTATCTGAAGTATAAAGATTCAGGAACTAAAATGCAAAATAAAGTTGAATTTTGAACTTTCACAAAATGGATGCTTTCTTAACGAATGAACTACAATGCTTCACTTTCTGTAAAAATTTTGTATTTATTGTAATACATAATAAGCTATAGGTTCTGAAGAATTTTATTCATAGATGACTAATTTTAGTGTGTTCCATGAAAATTAAAGTTAAAAAAATAAAGCTGTGATGTTTTCTTATGAGAAATTCTAATTTAATTTCGAAGTAGCTTAGCTAATAATAGCAATAGCAATAACAATAGCAATAGCAATAGCAATAGCAATAATAATAATATATTCACAGTGAGTTGCAATTCTCGTGGAGATGTACCCAATGGGGCAAGCTTGAGAATGTTGATTACAGAATATTCCTACATCCAGAGCACATGTAAGAAGCTAAAATACATCTTGGACCAGTATTATTTGACAGGAAATGTTGGAGCATTTTTGGAAAAGGGCTATGATGTCATGAAAGGATGTATCCTGGACTATCTTTTTTTTTGCTCAAGCAGCAGCTGAGGTGCTTGTCCAGGTGATTCAACCTTAGAATCACATAATCATTAAGGTTGGAAATGACCTTCAAGGTCATCTGCTCCAACCATCACCCTACTACCTATGTCACCCACTAAACCATGTCCCTAAGCATCACGTCCAACCTTTCCTTGAATACCCTCAGGGACACCACTACTTCCCCGGGTAATCTTGAAGGACTTGAAGGACACAAACTGGATGACAAGATGGTATTTCTGTGGATGGTTAACACAGTCTGGATCTTAGAAGTATACCAGAGGATCAAGTTTTATAGCTTATACATACCAAAGTAAGATAAAAGCATCCAAACACAGCAAAGCAGTGATGTGCTCAGGAGAAGAACATAACTTGGTGAGTTCAATTAAATAAAGTGGTTTAGAAAAATGACCTCCCAGGATGTCTTCTTTTCCATTCCCTATGGAGAAGGAAACAATATATCTCAGCTGATCTGGGCACCAGCAGTTAGACAGGGGACTTGGGAATGATGCCTGCGTCCACAGCAGGAGAAAATCAAAAATAAATTAAGTAATATATGAGTAGGACTTTCAGGGACTGGAAGAAGGAAGATTAGTGGTATGCAGACACAAAAGTAATATGATGTAAGAGAAGGTGATGTAAAAGATGCGCTAGAAATCTGTGAGAATAAAGGAAGCAAGCGTAAAATGAAATAACTACAACATGAAACTGTGATCAACGTCCTGCAAATAATGTCTGCATTTCTAGCTAACTTGTGTTTTT